AGTCTCTTTGTAACCTAAACTGTTTTTTAAGCATTTCTCATGACTCCGAGGCCTGCACCAAAAAACTTTTTTTTGCCAAATAGTCGTAGCTTGGCTATCATAAATAGGGTTTCGGTTGTTCCATTTGATGTTCACTTACCTAGCATTAATGATATTGACACTAGACCGTGTGTTTCCTTTGCTAATTAAGTTTTTTCTGACCGTTTGTTATTATCTTTTTGGGATGACTTTGTTATACATTCACTCGATTACTTATCGCCCTTTGCCTTCTCGTAAACCTTTCAGTATATGCTCTGTTATTTGTTACCTCAAACAAGTTCGTACCGAAAGATAGTAGGTTGACAGAGAACTTTCAGCGAACCTCAGTAATTCAAATTTCACTATCGTTAGTGACACTATTGACTTTCTTTTTGGTCACCACGGCTGAAGAACCATATATGATTTCTTAAAAAGTTATATTCTTGTTTAGAATCATGCTAGTCAGCAAATTTTTCATTCGTAAAATAAATAGTTTAGTGGAAGCCGTTTTCGAGTGTTGCAAGCATCTGAGCATTTCGTGACAACGATGTCAAGCACCAACACCACATGCCATGGATATTTCTTCCGTATTCTCCACAAAACCGTTTGGTCTCTATCAGCAAAACTGCAGATCCTGTGAAGACTCCATTCGTTGGTAAAATCGGTTTCAGTAAGTGAGGTATGTGAAATTGGGAGACGTGATGATACTGCTTCTAATATTTCTGAGATTGTGAATGATATTTTGCTCCCAATTCTAGGACTTGCGGTAATTATTCTCACATCCGACTGTTGATATATGACAGCAAAGATCGATCGCCGATTTTTTGTGTTTCCGGCCGCATGGATTCTGAGCACTGGGACGCAATACAATGAATGGTTCGGTTGTGAAGCTGATCATTTGTCTCAGCAACGGGACCCGGCATTCACGTTACCCGCATACGATATCTATGTGCTGCTGCGTTCCGTGTGTAGAATAAGGTCTGTTATGGCAATACGCGTATGGTAGATAGATGGTGCTACACTAAAGTTAAAACAAACGTTGCTCTCAACCGCGATATTGTGCGCACGAGCGTGAAACAAAATCTTCTGTCGCTATCATCCAGATTTGCAGCTTGTCGTATTGTTCTTTGTGAGCAACACAACCACAGCCAATAATTAATGTTTTCTTCCATTTATGGCCAATGTTTCGGCCAGTCAGTCATGAAGAAAGATATATTTATTTCCAAGTAGGAGGTGAAGGTCGAACCATGTATTCTACGACAAAACAGTTCTCCGGCCAAATCAGTGAGACAGTGATAGGGGCAAACTGGTATTTAGTGCAAACCCAGTACAAATAACTAGCAGGTCATTCATTTCCACCATAGATGCCTTCATCCTGTTGGCTGTTGTTCATGGTACTCAGATTGGCAACAAACGGATGATGTATTTCATTGAGTTTATAACAATTATTTTTTCCACTGTAGTTTAATTTCTGGATTTTGAAACAGAACATTACCACTTTTTATAAATATTCATATTCTGCTCATTGATTTCACTGTGAGTCAGTGTGGTGATCCTACACTCTGTGAGATCGCCAGCCAGGTGGCGACTCGACACGTCTCCGGTCAATGAAAAATCGGTGTCCTGGACCAGACAAAATCCATCTGGTTCAGGCCGGAATCCTGTTCAGAGGGCAATGAACTGCGACTGGTCAACGATATTCTTTTGTACATATTTGTTCGTGGTGATTTTCTATGATAAACTAGTTGCCGCTACTGTGGCCTTCTTCCCGCATCTCACTGATGGGAGAGTTCGGCATACGATTGTTAATACTATTCTCTGATCCGGTTGCAATTTTGGTCCTGATTCCGATTCCTGGTTTGCGTCTATTACGATTACTAAGTCGTATTTTTTACAGTTCGTCAATTCATCCACTGGCCTTAGACACTTTATTGAGGATGCAGTTACGTGTATTGGTTGATAAACAACAGTGGACATCTGTGCCGTCTCATTAACAGTGCATACAATTCGTGGGTCACTGAAGCCTAATTACTGTTAACGGTTGAGTGCAACTAGAGCAACCTCTGAGGCCATATAGTTACAATTGCATAAGGACCATTAAATTCAGTATGTTGGATCGATTAAATTGGTCGATGCGTATTCTGGAAAACCGTGACCAGAGGGACGTAAAAGTCGACTGGATCAATGAGCCTTTATTTCGAATTCTAGTTGATCCTTTTTTACTGTTCCCAGTACAGTAACCGCTGGTTTTGTGGCTTTCTTCCTGCGTCTTGTGTTCGGAAATTCGGGTAGTTGAGTCCTTGTGTGATTGTTGTTCCTTGATGATTTTCAGTGTCACATGTGGCTAATGTGTTCGCATTACGTGTAGGAGTTCGCTTGATGAGATCAAAAGCTCGCAACTGGTAATCTAAGTTGCAAGTATCCACAAAGAAAACTTTGACTCACCCCATCCAGAAAAAACATTCCCTACATAACTCCAAGCATCGCAGCTTAAAACAAGTATGGTATGCTAGTAGTAAATCTGCGCAATTATAATTTGATTTAACTAATACATTCAGTGCTAGCAAATTTCGCTCCTCTATACAAATGCAACTACGGTCAAGTTGTCACTTGGACTCACTGATTCGGTACCCAAGTAATCATTTATCAGATGACCTCAGTAATGTGGTACCTCAGACAGGACGGACTTAAAGAATATGCACGCATGCCATGCAAAGCACTCACCAGTCAAGGCTATGGTGTGCATTCAATGGCAAATGTCTCATTCACGAACAACATACATAACTTCTAATAGAAGCTATATCTCTTATTTGCTGTATAATCTTTCCCACTCTCTAGAAGACTTCATTGCTTCATTCAGCTGCGCTGCACTACAACCATACGACCTCTTGAAGAAGGTTCATTTGTGGCAATCCGACATAAATAATCCGAACCGAGTAGCGTGAAGTAGAACCAAGACGAGATGTGGATACAGTTAGGTTTATTCACAAACGCGCGCAAATAAATAGAACTAGGTTCATTCATTTATGAATTCATTCTATGCTGTCCAATCTCTGTCCGCCACTTCCCTTGGATGTTCTGCGTCGCTGTGCGCGCGTTTTGACATCAAACCTTAAGTCACGATCACCACACGGCTCTTTGACTCTCTCAAAACGAACATTATCCCAACGAAAGAAGAGATATTGGAAACAAAGAGGACCGACACTAACAATAATCGCTAATATTTAACTGTGGCGAGAAAATCGCACCGATCGAGAACGTGATATGGTGCTGGTTTAATTCTTCACAAAGGACGAATATTCTTATCTCGTACGCATTTATCCAAGAAAAGACCATGAACCACGCAGCGGAACTACACCAGACTGACCTGAACGTCCCAAACCTGTGACCGCAGCGTTTCATAAAGCGTCACAATAATTGCGTTCGCCTCACGACTGAGAGCAGCATTTGTGAGTAGTTTGAGCAAACAATCTTCAAGTGAACGCAATCTATACATGAGGCATGCATCTCGTGAGATTATTGCCAGATAACCTAAGTTTTATTTGCCTAACCCTTCTTGTCAAAATGCCTATTGGCCGCGACAAAAGTTGCAGAGACTGGAACTGAATGTAAAGTGTAAATAAAAATAATGTTCTGATGGAACTCAATGAGTCAGAAAAGTAATTGATAATTGTAAAGTAGCAGTCACTTCACTGATTCAGGGGTTAGGCAAATGAATAAAACGGTTTACATAACGTATATGTTTTCGAAATAGTTATACTATTGTTTATTTTAGTCAAAGCACTCACAAGATAGTAACTTCAGCGACGGTAAGTGGCTCTTTTTGTTCACGAATATGACAGTTATAATATTATCAACTAAAAAGATTATAAAATAGGTTTTAAAATGTTTTATCATATTCATAATAACTTGCTTTTGTTTCAGGACGTCTGTAAACAAACGCGAATCATTTATATTGATATGGGAAAGTAAAGAAAATCCGTCAAATGTTAAAATATGATAAAGCTGAAATTGAATTTCTCCAAAAATGCTAACTGATGTAACGTTGCCATTTAGCCGGAACGGGGAGCGTTGACATCACGGAAATTTGACTGGGCGTGACGCCCTACTTGCGGTGTGGGGTCAAAAACATTATACTACTTTTGAGCATTTCAGTAGGTGAAATGAAGCGCTCAATGTTTATATACGCTTTTCACCGTACACCATATGCGACTCAGTAACGCGCAGATAAGGGGTTGTTTAAATAAGTGATTATTCCTACACTGAAAAATTTTCGATCAGTAAAATACGATAACTGTTCTACATCCACTACGACAAACCCATACATTTTTAATGTGTTTATATAAAATCCATGACATCTTAAAACAGGCTGATGTCAGACCTTTTTTACTGATGGGCTCTTCCATAACAGAAGGGATCAAAGTGTCATCAGAAAAAATTGAGCTTATTCAGTCTTGAAAGCTCTCGCAAACTGAAGCGCATAAAGCCAAAAGCAAATAAAAATTATTCCAATGGCTGTTTTGCGCTTAGGGTCGTGAATGCTTGAAATAATCTTCTAGCAAAGCTTGAGGATATGTACTATGTGCCCAAGTTTAAACCAGATGAAAGGCAGAATGCTTTATTCACAGATTTGGCTAGTATGCAAGTAACTAAGTACCGTTTTGGAGTACTGATGGGGAAAATAGGGTCGAGTTATTTAGGCGGGACTTCTCCCACTTCTTTCTCCAATAACCCCTTCTATACAGTGCCTTCGTCACTTATTTTGTTCCCTTCCTCATTGAATCTTGATTTCCTCACTTTCGTCTTCTCCCCGGTTTCAGTTAATTCAACCTAGTGTGGTAATTAGAATAGTATTGAATATCGGAATACGAGAACCCGTACTGTAATGCTCAAAACTGGAATGGCTCCAACCCGAACTGCGGACACCAATGAAATATATTGAAGATTGGTAGCAGCAAATACTAGATAGAAGTAGAGCACGTTTATAGATAGTAATAGGCCACATCGTTGATTGAAGCATCGTTGTCCAATATCTTGACCGTTTGCGCAGAGGAATCAGTTTGTGATCGGCGCATCACATGTACTAATTCTGATGTCATGTTCGCCCGGTGTACCATTTGTCGAGCTTCCTGAACTGTGATTGAATGACATGAAGCTGTACTTGGTCGTTCTTGGAATGCGGTCATTTGTCTGGACCACCACAACTCTTTTCCCTCAAGAGTGCGTCGTCAATCTGGCTCACCTGATGGCTAGACCTGCGGACTGCAACCGTTGGCACCGCCTGTTCATGGTGCTGTCTTTGCGTTTCAATTGGTTGTGTCTGCGCATTTGACTGATGCGGCCCCGTCGGGTGTTGTGATAGGGTTCACACTTGCTTGTCTCCCTCGCTTGTCTCATGATGCCGCTAGTCCGTGGATCACTTGGAGTGGATTTGGTCCACGTGTCGTTTGTGCACAGTAGCAACATTCACGTCGGTAATTTCCACCATAGCTTGACTTAGTTGTCGTGTGACAATACCAGTGGCGAGTCATAAATCATTACCACGGAAGTATACGACGTCTCTGGAGTCGAGACACTGTAGGGTGGATTGCAAGCGTCTGAATTTAAAAAACATAGCCGGGCTATCCTTGGTAGTTATGTGCTGCGTTTCGGTATTGGATTAGGAAGTTATCCACCAACGTTTCCAATTCAGGTAGCGTTTTAGGATTAGTTGATGCAATTGCACTCTAGACCGTTTTGACTAAATTCTCTGCCGCCTTGTTCGAACAGCGGTGGCGTGGAGCATTTCGAAGGTGTCGGCAACCAATGCTGTCCATCCAAAGCTTCATTTTGGTCGCACAGAACTGAGATCCATTATCCATCACATGCACGTGTGGAATCCCTTCGCGATTACAACATTTCCATTTTAATTGTGTCACAAATGATGTGGTAGGCGTAGTCGTGAAGAATACCTCTGGCCATTTGGAGTATGAATCGATCAGAACAAGGGCATAATACCGGTTCACAGATGGACCACAGAAATCAACATGAACCTTTTGCCATGGTATGTAACTTTCCAGCTATGGTGTCCAGTTTTCGGCCTTGTTTTTTGTTTATGTAAACATGACACACAGTTCTTGGCCTTTGCGTAAATGTCTGCGTCCAACTCCGGCCACCAACACGTCTGTCGAGCCAATGATTTCATCTTCTCCATTCCCATATGTCCTTGATGCCATTCATCTAGTACCGTCTTCCGTAGGTGCGTTGGGATTACCAATCGATCGGCGCGACATAATATACCATCCAATTGCACTGACAACTCCACTCGGTGGGCAACGAACTTTGGATACTTTCTCTTTACCTCTCGCGACCACCCTTTCGTGATCGCTGAGAGTATGGCCCAGTAGTACTGCTTTGTAGATTTGCGAGAAGATTCTTAAGACACCGGTGATGCTAGGGTGATGAAATGACACTGTTTGGCCTCTGAAAATCGTGAGTATCGAGAGAGGAAATCAGCCTGCGGGATTTTCTTTCCTGGACGATGTTGGATGTCGTAGTTGTACGCGGCCATTGCGAAGCTGTACCTCTGCAGCATGGCAGCAGTGAACTTCGCGATGGATTTGTTGGGATTGAACAAGAACTGTATGCTTGGTGACCAGTGACGATGGTAAATCGCAATCCAAAAAGGTACTTGTGCAATCGTCGAAAAGCCCAAAATACAGCCCGCTTCTTTTTGAGTCTGCGAGTATCCTTTTCAACGGCATTAAGTAGACGTGAAATGCATATCACTGGGTACCCCTCGTGTTCTAATACAACACCGATTTCGACATCGGACGCATTCGGTGATTCGTATAGTAGGTTTTGATGGTGAAAACGGGGCCAAAACAGGACGATCATTAACGCAGCGAATTAAACCACATCTTCACACTCCACCGACCATTCCCAAGCGTCTGAACACTGAGCACGGAAAAGCGGCTGCGCCCTTGTAGCAAAGTTCGGGATACATCGAGAATAGTACTATAGGTATCCCATCACGGATCTCAAATGCGTTTGATCCTTTGAAGATTCGATTTTAGTCGTGGTTTGAAACGTGTCGGAGCTGGACGGTATCCACGAGCATCAACTATGAATCCTAGAAACTCCAACTCACTCTCATCAAACAGACGAATTGATAGCCACGTGACTGACGACGAATCGCTCCAGTAGCCGCGTAAGACTGGCATCATGTTTTTTCTTATTAAGGCCGAAAATGAGGACGTCATCTTGATATGCAAGCACACCGTCCTTTGATTACATTGTCTATTGCCGGCTGAAAGAGGCGAGACGACACATGTTATCTGAATGGGAGAAAATTATCCTGGTACATTCCCCACGGCGTGCTGATTGTTGTCAAGTAGCGAGATCCAACATTGAGTGGAATCTGTAGGTATGCGTTGGTCAAATTGATCTTGGAAGAATACTGGCAACCATGCAATGACTTCATGAAATCCTCTGGTTCCATGATGGTCACTGCACATCTCCGCAATCTGGGATTCAACGTTAGTCGATAGTCTCCACAGATCCGTGGTGTCTTACCATCACTTTTCATCGCCACAACGATCGGGGTAGCCCAGGCACTGGATTCAACTTTGCTTATCAAAACATCCTGCTCCATGTTCTGTAATGCTTTCAGGACACCTTCCCGTTGACCGTATGGGAGGACGCGTCGTTTTAGGAAAATAGGTTCACCGTCCACTTCCAACTTTACCGACGGTACCTTCATGCCACCAACGTTACTGGAACATTGTACAATCAAATGTTGAAGATGTGAGGTGATTGGATTATAGTCGTTGGTATGTAGTGTGATTGATCCTTATAGTGGCCATTTTTCTCGCAGGCCCAGAACGGACGGATTGTGGGCTGATACCAGGAAGCAAATCGGGATCGACACACCGGACTCAGATTGAACGCGCGACATCGTTTCACCAGGTAATTGCAACTGACGGCCGGTAACCTCATGAATGCGCACTGAAGTCGGGGCTAGAACAGCATTGAAACAAATAGCAGTGAGCGCCGATTTAGGTAGGACAGATTCACTGCTTCATGTATCCATGAGGAATCGATGCTCCACACCAAACTCGAATCTCAGCGGGGCTAACACGAAATGGCTGTTGGGTTCAGTGGTTTGCAGCGTGTAGCTGGGGCTTGAATTCTCATCTACCGTTGGAATATGGGACTCGAAGAAATTGCACTTGGGCATTCAGCGCACCTTGCAGATATGGCTCATTTTACCGCATGCGTGTTAAGTGGCATTACGGAACCGGCAAGTCGAACGAAGATGGTATTCACCACATGAAAAGCAGCGGTTGGTCGCAGTCTTCGGTTGTTTTCGGTTTGAACTGGGTATTTGAGGAACCGGGAGTGAATTATGGACA